CAGTCCCGGAATAGCCCGGTCCGCTGCTGGCCAATTCACCGGCTCTTCCGACAGTGAGTTTTGATTTCTTCTAATACCTTCTCCTTGCCAGTGTCGCACAAATACCCGTCGTCGGGAATATTGTAAACTGATTGTGTATGTGATTCATTAGATGTCAAGACAAAAAGGGCACGTTCATGGTTGAGACCACAGCTTGGGAGGGTTCAAAGTCAGACCCCACCACCACCACCCGTCACAACTCCCAAGCTATAGGCAACGGCAAATCGCAAGACGGCCATTCTAGTGAGCCATCATACCATCAATGGTCTCAGGCATGGGAGGATGAATGAGCCAGGGCTTCATTGTTTCCGGGGTATCTATGGCGTCTAGACGCACACTACACGTCATCCAGGTATCTTTATCTGGCCATCTCATTCGAAGCACATAGTATGCGCACCTGGCCGATCGTATGATGATACGGACCGGCGAGATTGTGTCGTGGATAATCGATCCGAGTGCATCGAAACCAAGGCTGTAATCATATCCGTAGATCATACAGCAACGCTCCAACGTCGATCATGTGTATCACCAACACAGGTCTCGAGCGATAAAGCCTGTATTTTCTGAATACGTGAGATAATCAGACGAGCAAAGCCAAGTTCTCTTGATCGTACCACAGTCTGTCGCACTTGGTTCTCACGAGGTTTCGGCAAAGCAAGACCTTCAACGTGGAGGCAGCATGGATCAAGTGCCATGGACTGGTGGACAATGGTCCGTCGACTAGGGCGACAAACATCGACGCATGCATCCAATCAATTCACATAAAGAGGCTCTTGGTTCAATTGCTGAAGTGTATGGTACAATCGGGGTTGGATGATCGACTGATGAAGCCCGTATCTTGTCTATGACTGCAAATGCCCTCTCGTGCTTCCTCCGCCCAATCTAACAGACCATCTCAATTCGCTCCGTTCCCGCTTCGTCTCGGCTGTTTGATTGTCGCTTATGCCTTGCGGGCCTCGGCCTTCTGCTGCTCGAGCTTGGCGTAGTAGCTGTCGCGGGCGTTCGTGCGCGGCATGTGGAAGCCGTACCTATGATTCAATCTTAGTTTTCGGGGGTGGGACTTCTGTAGAACTCAGTCGACGATCGCGTACCAGTAGACGTTGGCCATGGCGAAACCAAGACCTGTAAAGGCAACGTTAGTTGAGTCATTCTCGGATTGTGTCGGAAAGCAAGGGTTGAACACTGGAGTAGCAAATCGCTGCATGCTGAAGCCAAGAGGCTCAATTGACGCATGTCGCCCTCAATCCAGCAGCAGCAAATCTGCAAATTCCAGCCCTGCCCACGAAAAAGGCTTACCGAGGGCGATACCAAGGTCGAGAACGAGGTTGCGTCGCAGCATCTGTCAATTGTCGTTAGCCCACAGTCCGTTGCCCTTCGTCTTCTTCCTCCGAGATTCCGGCGGAAATTCTATAGTCGGAAGGGGGGGAAAACGCACGCCCGTGATGGGCTTAACAGCAGTAGCGCCGGCCATTGTGATGTGTAGTGCGGAGAGGGTTGTGGTAGTCGATTGAGCCGAGAGTTCGTAATCGGAGGGTTGTTTGACGATGCTAAGATATTTGGCGAGTAGCTCGAATGGTCTGATCAATTCGCGCGACGGGAAACATCACGTGATATTCAATTCCTCTTCAACCAAGGTAATGGCTTTGTGACGGCTGTTGGGCCTTAGCTAAGCATTTCGGTGATTGAAACTGCTTCGCCCTGGTTGGCCCTGGCATCTACCATTGCATCTCAGTCAGGAAAAAAAAAACTTAGGTAAGCAGACTGGCCGGAGGAACACCGGCTAAACAGGCCCAGGGACGTGGCCCAGGGGCGACCATCAACGCGCATGGGATCTTCCGAGCATTTTTTCCCCGTAACGGGTGGGATTGAAGCTGGTTGACGATCAATCAGCTTGAATCAACAACACCAGTAGCAGCCATGAGTCTTCCCACGAGGCGGTTGGCCTCAGCCGGTATGTCCAATTGATGTTATTTCGGCTTCGTTCTCGCCCCCAACACTGTGTTATATCGCTGTCACCTGTTGAATTGGGCTCCCTAAGTAGCTAACTTTCTCTGAACTACCAGCTCCTTCGACACTTCAAGCCATCACCCGACCGATTCCTCGATCCTTTACCCTACCCATTCGACCAGCCACTCAGGTCCGAAGCAAATGGACTCTCGGCAGTATCTTTGGCAGCCGTCGCGGCAGGCGAGCCCAAGCTTCCGATGACATGATGGGCGAGAACCTCGATGACCCAAAGGTCCGCGAACGCTTTGCCGAGTCACAGCAGCCCAAGATGTCTAGCTCAATCTTCGAGGAGGAAGTCGACGATGTCGTCGCGGACAGTAAAAAGGGTGGCTCCAAGGCTCAAGCTGCCCAAGCGTCGGTGAAGACACCAGAGACGATGGCGTGGCGCCTCGACCCCGATCCGCGAAGTCGTCTCCGCTGGGAGAGAAAGAAGGTCATCCAGATGGTGCGCAAGAACGGCCACGTCACCCGTGAGGAGCGTATCGCACAGACTGAGAAGAAGCTGTCGCACAAGAGCCCTTTTTTGGAGACCAGCGTCAAGAAGCTCGTGCATCTGGCGCGCCAGATCCAGGGCAAGTCCCTCGAAGAGGCCGTTTTGCAGATGTCGTACTCCAAGAAGAAGATGGCGGCCGAAGTCAAGTACCAGCTGGAGGAGGCCAGAGATTTGGCTGTTGTCACCCGCCGCATGGGCATCGGTCGCGTTGCCACCAACGTACAGCCCATCAAAATCCAGACCAAGGAAGGCAAGACCATGACCATCACAGACCCGACAAGACTCTATGTTTCTGAAGCCTGGGTTGGTCGAGGACCTTGGAGGGCCAAGGAGCTTGATTACAAGGGCAGAGGCAGATTCGGCATCATGCAGTCGCCCTCAACCAGTATGTTTGATGCTTTCCCATTCTACCACTCAATCTTGTCCGTCATAAGGTTAACAGTAGTTTGAAGGCATCTCAATCGTCTTGAAGGAGGAAAAAACGAGGATACGAGAGCACACGGAGAAGTTGGCCAAGCAGGCGAGGAGAAAGCCCTGGGTGCATTTGCCTGACCGGCCAGTGACGGCTCAGAGACCCTACTACTCATGGTAAAAAAAACAAAGGTCACAACTGGAAGACACATAACCGGAAGTGCTTGAGATATCATCTTGTAACACACTCAAAACCTGTAAGAATATGTACAATGAAAAGCTGTCATAGAGTCCTTTACGCCATCTTCGCTGCGTATCCCCCTTACCTTACCGGTGCCTTTGGGTGTATGTATGCAATAGAAATAGGATATCCCGTGGTATAATGCTGACCTTTTTTCGACAACCGCCTTTGAACCCCACTCCACCGCAACCGCTCATTAACATTCATTTAGTCATAATTCATATAGTGGAAGACATCCGCTTGCACTGCTCATCTGCTTGAGATGGGCCAGTCGAAAAGACAGGCATGGCGAATGCCTCGGTGAACTGCCTCTCACTCGAAACGCCTGGGTGACTGGCGCGGCAACATGTCTTCGTACCTTCTCGACTTCATCTCCAGCTCCGAGTGATTCTTGTCTTTGATTCCAATGAAACCTCCAGTGTAGTCTCTTCCGGAGCCAGGCATTGGGCCCGAAATTTGCATAGACTTTGTACGATTCTTTGGTCGTCTGATGAGAAGCCACAGGGCCAAGGCGATGGCTAGGACACCTACACCTGCTCCCACTCCGATACCTATCTTAGCAGATGAAGAGAGGCCTGCCGCATCGCTCTCTAGATTGCCCGCTCCGGTCTCCGAGGCTGAGCCGGATTGCGATGGGCGAGCTCCGGTAGATGTCGACGTCGACCTCGAAGAGGTTGAGGACAATGACCTGGTAGATGTGGCCTGGAATGAGTTAGTCGGTGCTAGAGACATCATCAGAGACTGAAAACATTAAGCTTACGAGGGTGGTCGGAACTGCAGTCGACGGCTGGAAGGCCTGAGCAGTATCAGTGACAGGGTTACTAGAGGTTTCCGATGGAGTTGTTTTGGCGACTTCAGAGGAAGTGGGAGTCTCGGCGGCGCTGGGTTTCGGCGGCTCGCTCAAGCTTGATGGCGACGGAGGCGGCTGAGAAGTCGACGGCAGCACCGCCGGGGGTGTTGTCTGCTGAACGGCGGGTGTAGAAGCCGGCGGATTTGACGCAGGCGGTGTCGAAGCAGGAGGTGCTTGCGTAGCAGCTATCATGGAAAGTCAGTGACGTCTCAACTAGATCAGGGAAAGAAGTTGCCTCACTTGCACATAGACCCGCGACATATTCATTGACTTTGGGTGCTACATCTGCGGCGCATGATTGCGAGGCGCAATCGCGAACACCAAACACGAAGTCTTGTTGTTTACAGAGGCAGGCATTGTCTCCAGAGGCGCAACCAAATCCTTTGGCAATGACATTGTTGACACAGGTAATCTGCAGGGCAAGAGCGTGTTAGTCCTTGATACTCGCTCGGCTTTCTAGAAATGTGTCTTATTGCAGCCAATCATGTCTCTGAATGATTATTTCGGCAAAGACTTACACCACATGGTGGCAATGAATCCAGTTGCGCGCAGACATTGCCAAGAAGGGCCGTAATGACGAAAGCCCGAAACCAGAATCGACGTCTCATGATGAGAATGGTGAACGTAAGTGCGACAGAATACTTGATGTTATTAACGTCAACTGAAGTGTCTTGGAGACAAAACTTCGGCGCGTCACTCTCTGGAACCTCCTAACACCTGTTGCGCATAAGACCGGATCTTTTAGAGTGTCGCACAGAACATCATGATCTGTCTCGAGTTCAAGTGGTTGGTGAGGTACTCCGGCACGGCGCAGATATTCGTATGGAAATAGGACGTTCGTTACGTGGCGCGAAATAGGCTCAGAGAGAACGTGTGAGATTGCTCGGCAGACGGTCAAGGTGACTAAAGAGGCGACGAAGCTGACAAAAGAACGCGAACCCCAAGACTGAGTGAGGTAGATGGCTGAAGTGATCTGGGCCAAGACTGGCGGCAGATGGTCGACGTCGCGAGAGAGGGGGAGAGAGAGAGAGAAAGTCAGGTCAAGTCGAGTTGGATGGACTTGCAGCGGGAGGGGGCGGGAGAAGCGAAACAAGTTGACCAAAGCTGGAATGGAAGATAAACGGTCAAGGCGAAGTGGGAGGAATGGAAGAGAAAAGCCAGCGTGGGACGAACTGGGGAGAAAAGCTGAAGAAGATTCCGAATGGGCAGAAGAGAAGAAACAAGGTACAGAGCGAGGAGAAAAGAATGGAAGAAGCTCGCAGGTGAGGTTCCGGGGGAATGAGAAGGGAGCGGGGAGTGAGGGTAATATTTCAGATTTAGAGAGGGAGGAGGGATATTGCCGTATTGAAGAAGGAACACGGTCCTACTCCCACACCCACATATCCCTCGCACTTGCACTTACACTGGCAGTCCAGGGAGGGACTACCTTGCCTCCACAGAGAGAGCAGTGCAACTTACCTTACCACGGTGGCTTACCCACATGCAGAAAGGACGGGAGGACGTGGGCCAGAAGTCATGGCAGGGGCCAACCGATCCGATGGGATCATGGGATGGAAGGCACTGTTGGCCCCGTATGAGATGCACGGGGCTGCCCTGGTTCATGAGCAAAGAATCCAGATACATCATCGGACGAGGAAATCAGAACAGAGAGCCATGTCACTCATGACGAGGGGCATTCCTTCCTCTTTTTGTCAAGAACAGGGGAAAGGGGGTGGGGAGAGAAATAGAAGGGGACCAAAGAGGCACGAGCACAGGCAGGAGGCTGTGAAGACAGCCCGGGGTTTCCCTCTGGTGCAAGTGCGACGTTGGCAGTTGACAGCCCGTGGACCTTGTCGCGTCCACGTTAAATTAGTACAGTCGCGTCAAATAGAGGTATAAACGGAGACGTGTTCAACTATTTGTCTTCTCTGTCGGTTTTAATGGCATCCGACGTGTTGCGTACCTTTAATGTATAAAGTCTGGAGTCAGCAGACCGATACCCAAGGTCGACAAGGTAAGTTGCGGCAGATGAATAATGATGGTGACAGGCGTGTCGGGCCAATTGCTGGCTGATACTGGATAGTCCTCTCTAAACTCTGCAGAGGAAAGCTAAGGTAGGTACCTTACTTTTTACTTGTACTTCCTCAAACAAGCAGGTAGACAAAAGTGACGGACACGCACCTTAACTGGCAAGTATCTTGATGCGAGGGGTGGACGGGTTTGAGAAGGGAGCAGGCCCGGGCGCTTTCCAGGTTGGTTGAGGTAAACTCAGGTAATCCCTTACCTGAGGTAGGCACCCTTGGCACCTTACCTTATTCACCTCAGGGCAACGTAGACTGGAACGAGGAAAAGGAAGGAGAGGCCCCGACGGTCTAGTATGGCTGCATCATGCTCTTGCATGTCCTTGTCTTTCTCGTCTTTTGGCTTTTTAACACCATCAACCTGCGCATACCTAGAGCATCACCGCAAAAGCTGCGTCATCCGATGATTCAACAAAAGACGCACATGGGATCCAGATTCCCATCCGAGGTCAGGCAAAAATGAAGTGGGAGACTCTTGGCCTTTTCGTCACCCTTGACTTGTTATGCGTACGTAGTACGGTGTACCTACGAGGCTAAGTTCCCGTCGAGGCAAGTCACATCGGCGGCTCGCCATGGATTCTGGTGGAGGATCCCCAATTGGGCCTGGGCCCGATCTGAGGGAGACTACCACGTACTCTGAGTCTGTGCCGCGAGCTGCCATGCCAGGATGAGCCCGCTTTGACAGGGGTTGCGGAAATGGAAATGGGGGTCCAGGGATGACGTTCAATGGAGGGGGAGGCCCGGTAAATGGCAAAGACGACTCAGCCGTACATCCACTCTTCTTGGTGAGCTATTCGCACAATCCAGACGTGAAGCTTCCATGTCCAATTCCCTCGTCACAATACTTTCGACGGCCTACAGAGCAAGAATGATGGGAACAATACGGCAGGTCGAGTTTGCGGCGCATAACGTTGGCTCATGTTTGCACATCAAAGTAGCGCTGATATAGGTGTGCCGCCGTGGGGTTGCACCTGCGTCGTCCTATTAAATCTTACAGATCGTCCGAAGCTATTCTTGAAGAATAAGCCACGCACGAATTCGGCCCCGTCTCTAACAGGACCTTGTCGGATTGTTGGCGAACGCTGGCCCCATCCGACCCCAACGACCTGCTATTTGCCTGGTCGTCCGATCCCTAGTCGTAGTCGTAGCCAGGGGTTGGTTGGCTGGATAGGAATTGCTTGTAGTTGCGACACGGGGCACAGTCAAAGCCCCCTCGCGCGACGTGCCCCAGCTAAAGACTACCTAAACGAAGGTTGGCGGCAGATTGGTGGAAAGGGGGCGAATCCAGCCTGTGAACTGCGCTTTTTGTCCTCTTGGCCGATGAGGGGTCTACAACGGTCAAGCACGTGCCTAGGTACCTACACTCATCGACCGCTTCCACCTGTCATTGGTTCCGAGGCTGATCTGCGCTAGGCAGGTCGTGTATCTTGCCGCCGCAAGCCACCGCAAGCCACCGCACATCAATCGCTTCACCATAGACTTAGGGAGGCACGGAAGATAGGAAAAGGAGACGGCCGCGACGGGCTCGGAGCGCATCGTTCAAAATCCATCCCGACACCCAAGTTCACGGTAAGTAAGGTAGAATGCTACAAGACTTCCTTTTCCGATCTATTCGCTTAGCCTGTGCGCACTGCGCACCATGATACGAGGATTCCGTCGTCATCCAACAAGGGAACAAGACTGCAGCATGACAAACCGGGTGCCCGAAAAGGAAAGCAGGAACCTGGGAGTTCCATGTTCCATCGGGCTGCATGAACTGCGGATGCCGGTGCGGCACTCCCGTCGCCGGCATGGGGACCTGGACGGCCTTACTTAAGGCACCTTGGTCTCCATTCCTCTCTTCCATGGCCCTGGAAGTACCTTATGTAAGCTGTCATCCGACAGTGCTGACAGGACCAATGGGTTTGTAACTACTAACCTCAAGCAAGTTGCTATACCCAGACCCCAAACCTGTGCCGCTTACCTACTTGACTGGTCGTAAGGAACGCGCTGAATGCCAATCCCATGCAAGGTAACCTGGGCTCAAAGACAAACGTTCTATGAATAAATGTTAACGACGTTGTGAGGTACCTACATGAGATAAGTTGAAAAGTTTGTGAGCTCGAGCTGAGGGTGTTTTCGTATTCAACCAACAGCATTCTTCCGATCCTGTTCGTTCCCACCAAACGCATGCTATCCTCAGCGTCCGTATGCCTTCCTCGCACCGCAGTCCCGGAGACTTGCGCGTCTACCGCCGGTTACTTGGCCTCCGCCGCTGGCCCTTGCACATAATGTTCGAATGGGCAGACAGAATGAAGTACCGCTGTCATGACCCCTCGCTCCCCTGTTTCAGCGCTCTCCTGAGTCGGACGGGAAGCCTCTATCCACACACTCAGCGGCCTGGAGCCCTGGACAGTGCTTGCCAAATCTCTCGGCTTTTCCGTTGCTGCACTTGACCCTCACTTTCTTGCTGCTAACTCCAAGATACGGAGCACAGCCGGAACAATAGGCCTGCCCAAGGCGTAGGCCATTCTCTGTCGCCGCCGTATCATGGTTACAACCGGTACCTATGGAGGCATCTCCAGAAGTTCACTCATTCTTTTCAAACGTACACATTCGACTGCGAAAGCCCCATAACAGCTAGGCCATATTCAAATGTCGAACAGCTTGCCCTGTCGCCTGCCGCATTCTCCGCTTGCTTCTTTCTGCCCCTTCATCTTGACCTGAACATGGCTTTGCCGTCGATAAATGGACTCGCTTGTCGCGAATTCATGCGCCTCGCGGCATCACGGCTACTGGCAAACAAGGCTACATCTCGATGGCAATAATTCGGCTGTTCTGCTATATGTGGCTTGCGTTGCCTAGGATAGACATCCCCTGCGCATAAATCAGAAGGGGCGCGCTGTAACAAGCACCACAAAAGTGGAGCTTTTCTTCTTCTTTTCTTCTTCTTTCTTTCTTGACGACCGCCTGCCCGAAATCTTCAGGGTTCTCCATTGCGGTCTCATGTTGATGGCTGAGCCAACTTGTCGTTCCGGCTCTCGTTGCTTCGCGACTGCGTAACGGTGTGAAGATACTGATGACTGGTTCTGCTATTCAAGTTCTCCATCACCAGATCTCTTGAGGCCCGGTCATATGGCAGAAAGACACAGTGATGCCCTTAGTTGGATATTCTGTTTCCTAGCACAGCTGCCAACTTGATGCAGATAAACATGGGCTTATCAGAATGTTCGTGGCGGTAGACTGAGTAGGATGTCATATTCGCTCTATGAGTAAATCAGACAGCTTCGCGAAATCTTCATAGTCGTGTAGCTGATCTCGTTGGGCTGAGACGGCGCCGGAGTGCCCGTCTTCGTCACTACTGACTCCGCTAAACCGGACCACGGCTCCGGCGTTGTAGACTGACAGGTCATTGGGTGACGGAATGCATCAACAGATCCCATGTCTCTACGTTTCATAACTACCTCTGCCTCTATCGATATCTCAACTTAATGCCCCAAATTATACTTATTCCCTCTTTATTCGATGGTATTCTCTACAACATCCTCAAAGTAACGGTACCTCGGCGAGACTGTGACAACAAGGAAAATCGGAACGGTATTGGAAAGAGGGTTAATCATATGCTGACTAGCTGTCATTTTACCACCCGCCCGAGTGACAGTCGTATTGAACCAGCATACAGCGAATACATCTACAGGCGTCGATTGCATATCACGTGGTTTCATAGTGGTGGGAAGTCGAAGTTTAGAAGCTGTTGACGGGTATGCTGTCGAGACTCAAGTGTCAGATCCGGACTCGGAGTTCATTCCGGTGCCGAGACTGATCGGAGCCGGCTGACCAGACATCAGAGTCTAGACTTCTGAATTAGGCGACTTACAGATAGACTCGCGTAAATTGCGGGCTAAGGCCCTTGAGGGCTAAGGCAAGTACCCGTAAGCAGCACTGGTACGACTTTTTGAGTAAGCTCATGACTCCATTGAGTCCATTCCGCAAGGTAGGGAGACTAGCGCTGGAGATCACTACGAATGCTATGAATAGCTGGGCTCAAGTGCTTTGAAAATAGCGATGCTTAGTTCACGATCATGATGGCCGATTCGACCAGCAAAACGTGCATAGAAAGGGGGAGACATCGGCTGTACCTGGAAATGTACTCGGAGCCAGAAACAAGACGCATGGAAGGAATCACAAGAGTTGGAAAAACCCAGCAGGTCAAGAGCCTCTTGGGCGTCGCATCATTCTCGCGGCACATCGGCATGACCTCACCAATGCCAAGCCCACTGGCCTCGCCAACGGCTTGGTGTCTTACTCCTCAGCCATCTGAAAAACGGCTAAACAGCCGGGCAAGGCAAACGAGATAAAGTTCAGCCCCTTTGGAAAATTCTTACCAAAAGTTTACTTAACATCTTTTTTGTACGGCGATAAGGACTGTTGCCCGGCCGGCCGTGTCCATTCATCAGAATATAACAGCCGGGCTTCGGCGTAGTATTGCTCCGGGAATAGGCGGGCTCTGGTTCTCCCTCCCCACAAGATGTGCCCGG